CCCCCCCCCCCCGGGGCCGCGCGGCTGCGGCCCTCCCGGAGTTCCCCGTACCCACCGGCTTGGCTTCTCGGGTGCGCGGGCGGGGGCCAGGCGAGTCGGCGTGGCCGGCTCCGGAGTCGGCGGCCCAGGCACGCTCTCCCCGCCCAGGGCCCGCCCGGGGCCGGGCCGCTCCCTGTCGTCATCCCGGTCAGGGCCCAGGCCCCGGCGCGCGCGCGCACCCTCCGGCCCCGCCCCGGCCGCCCCGGTGCCGGCCCCGGCCCCGGCCAACGTCTGTGTCCGCGGGGGCTTGGTGCGGCACACTCCGCAGCCAGCTCCCGGGGACAAGGCGCGTCACAGTCATTCACACACATGCACACACGCACCTTCCTCCGGCTGACGACCGGGCCCACTCGCTGTAGTGCTGGGCGGCGTGTGTCTTATGGGTTTCTCCCTTATCCTCGGGCGCCTTTGCATCACCAGAGCAAACCCGACCCTGCCCTGCGTGCCAGGCCAAGTCAGTTCTTCCCCTTTTCTGACCGCCTCGCTCCATTCACCCTCCTTGTCCACCCACGCTACTGCTCTGAGCCGGCCAGTGTCTGTTCTTCAGGCCAGACGGGAAAGCAGCGGCATTAACTGAGCCTGTACTATATGCACCTGGAGCTTTGCATGCGCTGGTCCTTAGATCTCAGAGCGGCCCTGTCACCTCGGTGTTGTTAGCCCAGTTCATAGGCCAGCCCACTGAGGATCAGGGAGCTGGAGGAGAAGGGATTCAAACCCAGATCCCCGCTTGGAAACACTCTGCTCCTGGTGGGCTTAAACCCTACCCTCTTCCTTCCATTTACCCCTTGTCCAGTCTGTTCCTGTCCCACCAAGGATCAGAATGCTTCCCCCACTGCTCACCTCTTTCCCAAGGGGTTTGCTTGAGAGGAAGCTGCTGGGCCCTGGCGAGACACTGCCACCCTTCCTCCCAGCCCAGAGCATCCCAGCTTACAAGCTTGCAGGGCCTGTGGGGATGAACCACACGGATGATCTCCCCGGTGGGTATCAGCTCCACTTGCAGGGCCATTCTGTCTGTGGATAGCTAGCGTGCCGAGCACTGGGGCCTCTGAGCAAAAGCCCGTCTGCCTGCCCGCCCGCTGGTTCTGGCTGCTCCCGGAACCAGGAATCTAGTCTCACGCTGGGATGGCCGCTTGGTTCAGCTTCAACTCCAGCCCCGGGGGATGTGTCTGGTCCAGTGCCTCAGGACACAGCTGGAGCAGCCCAGGTCTGATTGGGAGGCCTCTTGGCCCAGCAGGGTTGGGGCAGGAAGAGGAGGGGCTGAGGGACGGAGGAAATGCTTGTTGTCCCAGGTAACCAGAGGAGCTGATGCAGCCACCCATGGGGGACCCTGGGCTCCAGGTCAAAGGGTAGGAGGCCTTTCTCCCCAGCAGCTCCATGGTCAGGCCTCTCCAGCTGCCCTCTCACTGGTATCAGCTGGAGAGCACAGTGACCACACCCCAAGTCAGAATGTACATCCTCCCTAAGCCAAGAGGATCCATGAATAGGCACAGTCCCCCCCAGCTTGTCCGCCTCCCACAGAGGCAGGTGAGCCCCTGGAGTTTGAGGCGCCAGGCTGCTGGGGACTGGCAGGAGGGCATTGTGAGGAGGCCCCTATCCCACCCTCCTCTGGAGCCTCAAATGCTTGAGGTTGGTTCCTGGGTGGCTTGGCGTTGGGGAGCCTTAATCTTGTTTGCCCCTTACTTTTCCGCAGCACCCTCAGGTGCTCCCCACCCCCAAATGTTCCTGTTTTTCTATCTTTATTGTTGCTAAATCACAGCTGACACTTTCCTGGCCTGGGACTGAGCCCTCGGGTCTCCGGCCATTCCTTATAGGAAGTGTGAAGGGGGAAGTGGATGGGGAAAGCGATCTTTCCAGAGGAAGATGCTGGCAGGGGAGGGGTGGAGTCCAGTGGGCCTGCGCCGCCAGCCCCGCCAGCCCCCTTGGGCAGGCACCTTTCCCTGGGCACCCTTCCTTCCCTCCCCTCAGCTTCCCCCGCCCAGGAAAGGCCAGCAAAGCTTCCTTCCTTCCTTCCTCTGGGAAGCACATCTATCCAGGGCAGGATCATCCCCGGCAGCCACACAATGGCCCTTATCAGCCGTGGAGCCAGGCACAGAGAACCAGCGCACACCAAGTCTCACATATTTCCTGTTTCCACCCAGCGGGTCAGGGCTGGGCCCAGAGCGGCCATATCCTGACTGGGGCCAAGAGGAGGGAGAGCACCCCCCTCCTTCCCCTTCCCGCCTCTCAATCATTGCTGGACTCACCCCTCCCTGCTGACAGGAGGCAGGGGTAGGGGTGTGTGAAGACTTAAGGGCAAAGGGGAGAGATGGGCACCTAGAAGACAAGCATGATCCAGAAACAGGAGAAACAGGGGGACCCCAGGAGTCAGGAGCCCTGAGGTCCAGCCCCAGGGCTACATCAATCAGATTGAAGAGCTGGATAGACTTTTTTTTTTGTTTTGCGGTACGCGGGCCTCTCACTGTTGTGGCCTCTCCCGTTGCGGAGCACAGGCTCCGGACGCGCAGGCTCAGCGGCCATGGCTCACGGGACCAGCCGCTCCGCGGCATGTGGGATCCTCCTGGACCGGGGCACGAACCCGGGTCCCCTGCACCGGCAGGCGGACTCAACCACTGTGCCACCAGGGAAGCCCTGTTTTTGTTTTGTAATTGTTCTTTCACAATCATCTTGTGAACCGGAACACTGTATTTTACAGAAACTGAGACTCCTAGAGTAGAGGTGGAGACTCCTAGGGTGGAGGTGGAACTGTCATTCGAACGCAGGTCTTGACCCCTTTCCTGTTTCTGGTCTTGCATGACACCACAGCTCCCTGGCTAAGTTCGGAGGGATCACGCCACTCCTCTGGGCTTTGGTTTCCCCGTCTACAGATGAAGGGTGCTCTGTAGCAGCACCCACGATGGTTGTGCGTGAGAAGGAAAGAGGTGGAGACTTCAAGGGTTCAGAATCCCTTGGGTATGTGTGTGTTGGGGGCAGGGATAGAAGTTATCGTGGGGACCTCGGGGTACAGGGATCTGGGGGAGAGGTGGGGCAGAGAGAAGAGATGGTGACATTTTTGGAGAGCTTAACCCAGGACCAAGGCTCAAGACTAAGGTGTGAGGGAGTGCTGGGTGAGGAGGGATGAATCAGTGAGAGCAGAGTATGCACATTTTCTGAGAGTTCAGTCCCAAGAAATCCATTCTACCTGCTTAGCAGCAGAGTAAACGAAGTGCCCAACAGCATAAGAGACATGCCCCACCTGGACCAGGGACTAAGAGGGCCACCATCCCAGAACCTCATCCCATCCCCATCTGGGCAACATCTGTCGTCCTCAGACATAGTCTAGTCTGGATAACAGGGCCCTCGTCCTGGAGTCTAGCAAGGGCCCAGGAACGTGTGCCTGTTCCCACCACTATCATGAAGGAGTCGCAAGTGTAAAAGCCATGTTTCTAATTATCCCCCAATGCAACGGCCACAGAACACAGATGGCCATGGCCTGCTAGAAGCCAGAGGGATAGTTCCTGATGGCTCCCAGGGTGAAGTAGGAATGCAGAGCAACTGGAGTGTCCCCCAGTCTCAGGTCATAGGCTGGGCGTTAATAGTCACAGAGCAGGCTCCCTGAGGTGTCTTCTCCTCGGAAACAGGATGCAGCATCAACGGTGGCTGGAGGCAAATGGTGGGAGTGGGGCCGGGCCATGTCCACACAGCACCTGGAGAATGCTCTCTGAAGACCCCCGGGCCAGATTCTCCAGAACATCTTGATTCTGACTCTCCTCTCTGCCTGCCCCCACTTCTAGGTCCCAGAGTGGTCTAGACAAAGGGCAGGTTTCTGGCCTGTGATGGCAGGCGAGGGTAGGGGAAGACGACCTGGACGGGGCAAGGACCACCCTGGAAAAGTCTGTGGCTGTAGGTCCTCTATCACCTTCCAGCCCTTCACAAGAGGGCAGGTTGGGGGCATGGAGCCTGACCCACTAGCAGAAGCGAACCTGGGTCCAATCCTCTGCTCAGACCCTGGGACTTCCTGAGTTGAACTCCTTGAGCCGGCGGTGGGGGTGGGGTGTGTGTGCTGCTGGCAGAAGGACACACATCAGCCTGCCCACAACCCCTACAGAAGAGCCTGGGTAGAGGGCTCCTCCATCCTGTCTACTTAGTCATCTGCTTCTGCTGAAAGCAGGGATCCCAGATCCTCTGCCCACCCCTCAGGGGTACAGGCGACGAGATGCCAAGACTCCTGGAACCCAGTGCTATGTGGGCCAACCAGTCTCTGCAGCCTGTACAAATGGGAGCATCTCCCCCTCCCAGGCAGCCTAAGGCCCAGGGTGGCGTGACAAGAATGCAGGCCTGTGCCAGATGGGGCATGTGCCTGTCAGGCCTGCTTGGGCGGGACTGGAAGTGTGTGTGGGGGAAATCAAGAAATGAGACACAAGCCGGAGGGTCCTTCCCACATCCAGTGGACTGTCTAGATCTTCACTGTTGACAAACTAGCTGGTTTCACTCACACCTCAGCAACAAAAACCTGTATTTAAGGGGCCGATTCCAGAGATCTGGACTGGAGAGAGCAAAGGAGTGTGGCTAGAGGTCCCCCTGGGAGGTGGAGGATACCGCTGCCTCCTCAGGGGGCTGGGCTGGGCCCCCAGCACTCCTGGCAGTGGTAGGCAGAGCTGGCTGCCAGCTCCAGTCTCCGCCCTGGATTCACTCTATCCCGGCTCAGATCTGTGGTTGGGCTTCATCCAGGGGGCCCTCCACCAAGAAGGAGCGAGGCTGGATCTGCAGGGGTAAAACAAGCAGTGAGTGGAAGGGGCGAGGGCAGGTTGCACTCCGTGCCTTCTGTCTCCCCCATCCCCCAAAGGCTTCAGCTCCATGGTAGGGGTCGGCTCCTCGGCCCGTGGCCTCAGGGAACCGGTGATGGGCTCAAGTCTTCTGGGCTACCCTTCCTCTTACCCACCAGCATCCATTACCTTGAAGGGTGTGCTTATCCCCACCACAGAATGTAGGTTGTTGCTATAGTAAAAAAGGAGAAACTGATCCTCAGTCTCAGGGATGTCACTAATGTCGATGTACACCTGGAGGGAAGGAAAGACGGAAGTGGATCAGCTCCACGGGCCCAGGCCCCATTCAGCTCTCAGCGACTAGGTATCCAGCTCTCTGCTCCTTCCAGAAGACAGGGGAGAGGTCAGACAAGCCCCCCTGCTGGAGATGTGGAATACCTATCTCAGGAAAGGGGGCAGGTACCTGGTTCAGCCCGTCGCTGAAGGAGACCTGGTTGTCCCTGACCCAGACATACGACACGTAGTCATTAATGTGGCGCAGCCCCACCTGTGGGAGGGGGGATCGGGCAGGTGGTCAGTGGTCTGGGAGGACACGGGACCCATGTCAAGTCCTACGGAGAGGATGGTCTCATTTCTAAGGCTGGCCATCATACCACCTGCCTCTTCCCCTTCACTGCTAGCCCCTCGGTGGGCAAGGACCCTTGGGGTGGATGAGGGTAGCTCTGCAGTCTCTGTGCCCAACTCCCATGAGCACTCAGAATAGATAAACCGGTGGGGGGGGGGGTGCGACTGATGGGCTCCCTGCCCACCTGCCACGTCACCTTGTACAGGCCAATCCAGTCCCAGGGGCTGCTGAGGAAGTCTGCGGTCAGGGAGTAGCTGATCAGCATGTCGCTCTCCGTGGTGCACGGGCTCTCGGGCAGCAGGGTGATCAGTGGGGCAGATACCAATGGCTTCAGCTACACACAGGGGCGGGAAGGGGTTGAAGTCCCACAGCATCATTCCCTTCCCTGAGACGAATGTCCTTACTGTGCCCTTGCAACAGTCAGTGTCAGTGGGGAGGCATGGAGGGGCACCCACAGGTGAACTCTACTAGGCTGCCCTTAGAGTATCAGACCTTGGCTGGCCAGCTGGAAAGAAGGGCCAAAGGCTGATCGGGGATGGCTGGCCCTGCCAGGAGGACGAGACTGGGGGCCAGCTGGGTAACCAAGCAGAGAGCCAAGTGCTGAGGAACGTCGGGGTGGGGGAGATCAGGGGCGCCGCTGGCGGGTTGAAGAAAGAAGCCAGGGAGTTGCTCACAGGCCCTTCACGGTTCCTGACCCAAAGGCCCAAATCCAATTTGGGGGCCTCTGGTGAGGACAGCTATAGGCATGTGAAGGGACCCAGTGGTATAAAGACAGACAAACACTAAGAGGGCAGCCAGCAGCTCAAAGAAGGTGAACACTGCCTTGGTCATGAGATGGCAAGATACAAGGATGGAGGGGGCTCCCCTTGCAACCTGAGCCCGATAGGTGTAGGACGAATGAAAGCAAGTCCTACTTCACATGGTAGGTAATAAGCATAATGGAACTCAGGAGCCCCAAGGGACAGTGCTAAGAGGAAATGGAAACCTACTGACAAAGGGTTTGAACACATTTTTGACAGACAGAGCCATCAACAGCTCCTAAGAAGAGCTGGGATACCTGACCCGGGAGGAAAGGCAATCATGTCCTCCCACAGGTCTCCCCTGGGGCATCTGCTGACATGAGAACCCAGGGCGGGAGGGTCTGGGGATGTGGCCCAGCATGGCTGCTCCTCTGCCAAGTGCTGGGCAGCCCAGAAATTTACCTCCAAGTCAAAGGTGCTAGTGACAGGCTTATGGTCACTGATGCTGTACAGCATGTGGCTGACGTAGCTCCTCAGAAACAGGGTGAAGTGGGGGGCTGACAGCGTCGGAGTGTGGATGGCGGCCTGGGGCTGCCGCTTCAGCCTCCACAGGATGCGGTCGGTCCACGCGGGCTTGCGCTTTTTCTCACTGGGGGTGGGAGGAGAGGAAGAATGGGGAGAGAAGGGGTGGCAGGTGAGCAGGGAGGGACCCACGAGCTTGCTGGATGCCCTAACACCGGGGCCTGTCAGCAGTCACCAGATCACCCTGGGCCAGAGCTGGAGACCAGCATGGCAGCAGGCAGGAGGGTGTCCAATGGAACCAAAAGTATGCTGGCCTTTGTCAGACTCAGCCAAGGACCCTCAGTAGACTAGAGGGTCACAATCAAATTGTGACTCAGAAACATCCCGTTTAAAGCCTTTCTTATTTCTTGAACAAAAGCAGCAGAACATCAAAGAAGCTGAGGTTTGGAATTTGGAGTGAGACAGACTTGAGCTGGAATTTGGCTTCCCCCATACTAAAGACCCGACCTTAGGGAAGAAAAGGGAAGCATTTAGGGAACGCTCACTACATGCCGGCAACCAGAACTATTTATTTCACTCTTCACAAGTGGAGAAAATGAGTCTTGGAGGGGAAGTAACTTTCCCAAAGTCACACAGCCACTGAGTGGCAGAGCCAGGACTCAAGGCCAGGCAGCATGACCACAGAGCATGTGCCCTTAATCACCAGGCCAACCCCTCTTAGGCCTCAGCTTCCTCATCTGTAGAATGGAGATAATAGTAGTCATGTCAGAGGGTTGCTGAGATGATTAAATGAGATGAAACACAAAAAATGTTTAGCACCATGCTTCGTTCAACATAAACTCTCTGCATATACTGGCTATTGTGATGCTTTGTTCTCAAGAGTCAAGACCTCCCACCTGTTCTTTACTCACCAGCTTCCCTGACGGGCATAAGAGAAACCATACAGCCTGGTCAGATGATTCGCTGCTTTAAAACCTCTAAGGAGTCTTCACTGCTTCCAGAATAAAGCTCAAGTCTCCAAATGTGGTTTTCAAGGTACACAGGAGCCCGACACCCCTTGTGATACCTTATCTCCCTCCTCTGCCCCAGACCTACCTCACCATGGTGAATCTCTCAAGCCTCTGGCCCTCTACTCTTACAGCTTTTGCTATCTATAACTCCCTTTGTCGCAGGGAGAGGCCCAGTTCCAGTGCTGTTTTTGTCATAAAGCCGTCACTGACCTCTCTGCTTCCAAAGCATTCTACATAAGTACATCTCCTATTACAGTATATTGTAGTTCACTGTTTCCCAGTCAGCCTATCAGTTAGCATGTGAGCTTGGAAGGTAAGGACGGACTCTTGGTGTCTCCTGTGTATCCTCAGCATTAGCACAGAGCCTGGCATGCAGTAGGTACTCAAGAAGTGCTCGTGAAACCCAAAGAATTAAAAAAAAACAAAACCCAAGCTCATTCTCTTTCCTCAGAAATGCCCACCTAGGGACTTCCCTGGTGGTGCAGTGGATAAGAATCCGCCTGCCACTGCAGGGGACACGGGTTCGATCCCTGGTCCACGAAGATCCCACATGCCGCGGAGCGGCTAAGCCCATGTGCCACAACTACTGAGACTGTGCTCTAGAGCCCGCGAGCCACAACTACTGAAGCCCGCATGCCTAGAGCCTGTGCTCTGCAACAAGAGAAGCCACCCCAATGAGAAGCCCGTGCACCGCAACGAAGAGTGGCCCCCACTCGCCGCAACTAGAGAAAGCCTGCACGTGGCAACAAAGACCCAACGCAGCCAAAAATAAATAAAATTAAATCTTAAAAAAATAAATAAATAAAATGGTTTAAAAAAAGTGAAAAATATATTTTTAAAAAATGCCCATTTATCCCCCCCAAAAGTCCACTTAATCATTTTTTTAAATAATTTATTTTATTTTTATTTACTTTTGGCTGCATTGGGTCTTCGTTGCTGTGCACGGGCTTTCTCTAGTTGCGGCGAGCGGGGGCTACTCTTCGTTGCGGTGCACGGGCTTCTCATTGCGGTGGCTTCTCTTGTTGCGGAGCACAGGCTCTAGGTGCGTGGGCTTCAGTAGTTGTGGCTCGCGGGCTCTAGAGCACAGGCTCAGTATTTGTGGGGCACGGGCTTAGCCGCTCCGCGGCATGTGGGATCTTCGTGGACCAGGGCTCGAACCCATGTCCCCTGCACTGGCAGGCGGATTCTTAACCACTGCGCCACCAGGGAAGCCCTGCCCACCTAATCTTAACATATAGTTTCATATGCTTATAATCAGTTTGAAATTCTGTTTTTGTCTTCTGCTTTATTCACTTACTACTTTAAACAAACATTTCTGGTATACTTCCATCACTTCAGTAGCAATATGGTTTTCCAGCAATAGAGGCAAAATGGTGCCTCGGTGGTGAACTCTGACTCTAGTATCAGAGACCAGTTGGGGGAAGGTTTTGCCCCTGTTAATTAAGAGCTATGCGGTTCCAGGTTAGTGAATCTGGGGAGTGGTGCCCTTGGAGAGGGCACGGAAGCTCCTTCCCCTTCCCCATACCTTGTCCTACACATCTCTTCCATCTGCCTGCTTCTGAGTTATATCCTTTTACAACAAACCAGTAACTTAGTTTAAAAAAAAGCTCTGCCCTTGGGCAAGTGACTTCATCACTCCAAACCTCAGTTTCTTCCACTCTTAAGATGGGGTAATAACAGTGCTTACTTCAAAGAAACATTGTTGAGGGAGTGGTCAAGAAGTGGGAACTGGCTAAACCACCTCTGCTCGGGGCTCCTGGGTTGTTTGAATCCTTCACTCTTCTGAGAAGTGTTCAGGGGATAATCGGAATGTGGTATTCCCATCCCAGAGACAACAGACACTCAATCTCCAAACCAATCTTGGACATTCAGTGCCTAGCAATTCTTAAAACTTGGTAATGAACTGCATGAATGTACCACTCTCCCTTTCAAAGCATCCTCCCCGCTTCCACTTCCCTATTATGGTCAAGAGCCCATACTTGCTGTCCCGTCAGGATCCTCCCCGAGTGCTGACCACAGCCTGACTCTCCTTCCCCCTCAGTACCTCAGCTTGGCTCTGCTTCCTCCTTGGGACTTCAGCCTGTCTCCCTTTCCTCCTTTTCCATGGACTGGTCCACACTCATCACTGGGCACCTGTATTGTTCATTCTTTCAGTGAGCTTTACTGAGCCCTTATTATACGCCAGGCAACTGGGGATCTGCTAAATGGGATTGTCAAAGTCGTTGACGAGCTCGTTTAACAAACAAAAGGAACAAATAAGCAAAATAAATATGTACCAACTAAATATTATACATTTCCCCCAGTCCTCCATTCCCGATAATAACTAAACACGGGGTCCTTCTGTGCATCAGACTGTTCCCATCCTTCCGACACGGGAAGAACGCCACGGGCCACATTTTCCTTCTTCTCCAGGACACTGAAGTTGAGCGAGGTAACCCTCTGCAGGTGGGAGCTGGGTGCCAGCCCACGTTGCTGACTACAGAGTCAGTGCTCCTTCCACTGCACCCGTCTCCTCCAGCTTGCCCGCGGTGGCCGATTCCCAGTGTGTGTCACCAGAGCTGGGTCGCACTAATGCTTTTTTTTTTTTAAATAAATTTATTTACTTATTTTACTTTTGGTCATGTTGGGCCTTCGTTGCTGCGAGCAGGGGCTACTCTTCGTTGCGGAGCATGGGCTGTAGGCATAGGCGTGCGGGCTTCAGTAGTTGTGGCTCGCGGGCTCTAGAGCACAGGCTCAGTAGTTGTGGCGCACAGGTTTAGTCACTCCGTGGCACGTGGCATCTTCCTGGACCAGGGCTTGAACCTGTGTCCCCTGCATTGGCAGGCGGATACTTAACCACTGCGCCACCAGGGAAGTCCCATCACTAATGCTTCTTTTGGCTGAATGGTCGTGACTGAGTACAAGAAATATATCTGGAGATTACAGGCACACCTCGTTCCCTTGTGCTTCGCTCTTCTTGTACTGCGCCGATATTGTGATTTTTACAAATTGAACGTTTGTGGCAACACTGCATCGAGCAAGACCATTAGCACAATTTTTCAAACAGCATTTGCTCCCTTCATGTCTCTGAGTCACATTTTGGTAGTTCTTATAATATTTCAAGCTTTTTCATTATTGTTGTTATTGTTACAGTGATCTGTGATCCTTGATGTTACTATAGCAAAAAAAATTATGACTTGCTGAAGGCTCAGATGATGGTTAGCATTTTTTACCAATAAAGTATTTTTAAATTAAGGTATGTACATTTTTTTTTAGACATAATGCTATTGCACACTCAACAGACTACAGTATAGTGTAAACATAACTTTTTTATGTATCAGGAAACCAAAACATTTGTGTGACTCTCTTTATTGTGATATTCGCCTTACTGCGGTGGTCTGGAACCAAACCCACAATATCTCTCAGGTATGCCTGTAGTATGTCTTTACTTTCTAAAAATTAAAACCAAATAGCTCTGCAGGATTCTCCTGGCTTAAGAGCCTAGAAAACTTGAGCCAGTGTACTGACCCAAAAGTAGTGATGTGTTCCATTTTTGGGTCTGAGAGCACTTTTCCTTTCCCCTCCCTACAGATGGCTTCTAAGTGTCTCGTTGAACTCTGGACTCGAGTCTTGAATAGATTGATCATAACATCCTCTGCTCACTGCCTAGCAGAGAGGTGGACTGGGTTCCTGTCGACTGTAACAAAACCATTGCAATCCCTGACTTTAATAGGATTTCCTGCCCTCAGCCCTTTCACCCTCCCGTGTAATGGAGCTGACCTCGTTTCTCATTACATCTTGGCTCCGGGAGGCTGCCGAGGCTGGGCAAGGCTCCGTACCATGCCCTGCGTGCAGCTCAGTCCCTCTGTACAGCAGGTCAGCTCCACTCAAGATGCCTCTCACCAGCGCTGCTGTCTGATCAGAATGCCTGCGCTCCTTTCTGCCTCCCTGACAATAACTCTCATTGACTCCTCCTGGCTTCAGCTGCCCGCCTCCTTACCATTTGCTTTACCCTCCTCCGGCACTTCCACAGAGTTCTGGAACCTTCTATGGGCCAACTCCTGGACTTGAGAGTGTTTATTTGGCTCTCTCACTCTGGGTGGGTCCCTCTGCTCCTTAAATACCTTATATTTTCCTTTTGTCCTCTCAGGCTCCCAGTTTAAACATACGCCAAGCACTACGCTACACACTAGGGACGGTCATAAATCAGATCCAGTCTCTGTGCACTGGGCATTCATAGCACAGCAAGAAAGGCACACTGTGTCTTAAAAGCAACACTGAAAGCATGGTGTGTGCAAGGCTTGCAGGCAGCATAAGGGAAGGAGAGAACTCTCAGTGAAACGGGCAAGGGTCAGGAAAGGCTTTTCAGATGGTTCAGATGATGTCTGAACTGGGCTTTCAGGATGAATAACAGACTGATCAGACAGGAATGTTTCTGTTCACTATGTGGGGCCCAGGCCCTGCCCACCGCAGGAGCTCCCAGCTGGGAATATTTCAGTTACGATTTCCCCCCATAAGGCCCCTGTTCCTGTCCAGACATTCCTTCATTTCCTGGGCTCCAGGCAAGGGGAACTGGATTCACACAGACTCCAGTTCAAATTCTTGCTCCGTCACTTACTCTGTTACTACCTTACTTAGATCTTCTGAGGCACGGTTTCCTTATATGTAAGAAGTCAGCATCAATGGCGTCTACCTAATGGAGATACATATGAATGAAGTGAAGGGATGCGGGCGAAGCACTCTGCACAGTGCCTGGCCCATGGTCAGCACCCAATAATGTCAGTCACAATGTGGATTATACCTATTATGTGGAAATAATATCTGCCTTCTCCTTAGCAAGGCTTTGCTATCCCAATCCTGCCCTCCTTTCTGCTGCTGCTGGCAAGACTGGCTGTGAACCCAGAGGCACTGTGGGCTAGAGGAAGGCATCGTGGGCAACACAGTCCAGAGAATTGGGTCTGAGCCCCAGCTCCGCCATCGCTAGCTGAGCCACCTGGGTAAGACCTTGAACATCTCTGAGCCTCTCTAGGCCATCTCAGTAACTTCCAGTCTCCTGCTGGTTTCCCTCCCATAACCAGGGGTGTGGGCACAGGGACACCTGGCCATACGGTCTGTCAGCAGCCCTCTTCCGGCTGGCAAGTGAGGTTTTGAAGTCAACTGGTAGAGGGTCCCAGCCCCCAAGGTCCCAGCCTGTCCCACTGAGGCCTGACAATTTCCACAGTGAGTCCATTGGACCCTCATTTCCAATGGATGGCTGGGGAGACTGTCAGCTGTGGACCCGGCCAGCAGGCCAGCTGGAGCCTGACCTCCTCCCTTCTTTCTGGCTTATACCGTAGCTCAGGCTGGACTGTTTCCAGTGTTCGTGGCCTCTTCTTGGGTGCACTGCCCTGGCTGTGACCCCACTCTGTCTTGCTCCACACACCCGAAATGGCTCATGCTCTCCCCCTTGCTTGGTGGGGACATCGTGGCTCTGCCACACAGCTTCCAGCACTGGGCCAGCAGCTCTTCCTCTCACCCCAGGCTGGCTGTGGACATACCTACTCACCTGCTAAATCCCAGAGGCCTGGGCCGCCCTGGAGGCGCCTCCTACCTCCCTCATAAGACAGTCCTGCTAGGGGAATACGTGAAGGAGCTGCTCCAGCTGAAACAAAGAGCCTCATAACATGTAGGGGGTTCTTTTTCTTCAAAGAGATGAGGATCCTTACCCTAAATTGGGCCAGGGACCTCTTGCTAGAGCTACTTTTGCCCCTCTGCCTAAGCCTAAGGTTTTGGTGGTCACTTGGTCCTTTCTCAGCTTCTGAGAAAAGTTTTCAGTAAAACTGCCACCTGAAGACGTGAATCTAAAAATAACAACAGGGACTTTCCTGGTGGCGCAGTGGTTAAGAATCCGCCTGCCAATGCAGGGCACACGGGTTCGAGCCCTGGTCCGGGAAGATCCCACATGCCGCGGAGCAACTAAGCCCGTGCGCCACAACTACTGAGCCTGTGCTCTAGAGCCCACAAGCCACAGGTACTGAGCCCACGTGCCACAACTACTGAGCCCACGTGCCACAACTACTGAAGCCCGAGCGCCTAGAGCCCGTGCTCCGCAACGAGATGCCACCGCAATGAGAAGCCCACGCACCGCAACGAAGAGTAGCCCCCCGCTCGCCGCAACTAGAAAAAGCCCGCGTGCAGCAACGAAGACCCAATACAGCCAAAGATAAATAATAAATAAATTTATAAAAAAATAAATAATAAAATAAAATAAAAATAACAACAGCAGTTATCACAGTGCTTACCGGGTGCCAGGCACTGGTCTGGGCACATGCAAGGTTTCATTTAATCTTCAGCCCCGTGAAATAGGTATTGTTGTCATCCCCGTTTTATAGATGACAAAATTGAGACTTAAATACCGTGTCCAAGGTCATACAGTTGATGAAGGGCAGAGCTGCGCTTCTAACTACCAGACGCACGGTCTCCACATTGTTCCCCATTAACTGCCCCCCTGACAACTACTATTTCACCTTCCTAAATAGTGCCCAACCCACTCACAGCTGCGGCGGGGCTATGTAATACCAGTAACTGGCCGAGCCAAGCTTTCTGCCCCCGACCGGGTAGGATCAGAAAGTCCTGGGGAGCAGGGACAACAGGGCCAACATCCTGGGGCAGGGCTTCCCGGAAAGCTGAAGTACAGTCCCCTCACGCCAGCAACCCACTGTCCTCCCTCCCCTTTGGCTCTGCCTGCCCTGCCCCCAACCCCTATTCCTGCCAGCAGTGTGTCTCCCCTTCCTGCTCTCTCTGCGGACAATCTGGGTCAGCTCCCACGGTCAGCATTTCATGAGGGGGGCGGGTGGTGCCACTCCTGAGAGGTGATGGCTGGATCTATTCCTGCTTCCTGCTATTTGGAGGCAGCTCCCACTGCCACTAGGGCCAGCACGATCTGACTTCCCAGGCCCAGATCTGCGACAGGCTGATCCTCTCCTGGTGGAGCCCCCTCACCTGGTGTCATAGTTGTTGGAGTTCTTATCAAACTTGTAGGTGGGCGGGAAGAGCAGGGGGCCCTCCTGGAACTCCCGGAGCAGCGGGTCGTGTCTCTTGGCAATGCTGAGCTGGAGGGAAAGGCACAGTCCCATCTCCCAGCAGTCCTGCCCCAACGGCCCGGCACCACGCTCCAGTCAAGGGCTGGCACATGCCATCGCAGTGGGGCAAGAGTCAAACCCGGCCACTCCACCTCCTCACTGCCTCAGCGGCAGCCTCGGCACCCCAGCCCCCGGCGCCCTCACCCCTGGGAGATCAGCTGGATCCTTTTGCAAACGTTACCCCACGGTCCCAGGGGAGGCAGCTGCCTGCCTTTTCCCAGTTCTTGGACTACAAGGACCAGGCTCTGAATTCCATCTCCCTGGCAGCCACCAGCAGACGTGTGTCAGAGGGGAGGCGGGGGTAGCCAGGGTCCCCCAAAGGGGTGGTATCTCATCCTCTAGGAGGCAAGCCAGGCTGGGGGTGGGAAAGACAACAGGGACACAAGAGGGCTGGCAATGGTGCAGGGCCACAGCAGGCGAAGCCCTTCTCGCTCCCTAATCTCATGCACACCCAGTGGCTGCGTCCTTGCTCCTCCAGCTGGAGACCAGGGCAGCCGGACAGGACTGGCTGCCCTACCTGCAGAGGTGAAGCCCTATTAGACCCCACCCTGCCTGAGAACAGGGACTCGGGCGGCCTGGGAAAGGAGAACAGGCACTAGAGAACCTCCCCACATCTCAAGTTGACCTCCCCCCACCACGGCTCAGACCACCCTTCGCGGCCCTGCCCTCGTCAGATACCTGATCCTTCTCCCACAGGTCACTGTAGCACTGATTGTTTATGGATTCCCGAACAAAGTGCAACCCAAAGTCCTCAATCCGAAAGTTCATGTCTCCAAACCAGAGAATGAGGCTTCAGAAAGAAAGGAAAGCAGGCGGCCTGAAGGTTTCTGATGAGGTCAGAAAAGGCAGGACCACAGGGGTTCTGGCCACTCACTGCAGGGCTGCGGGAGAGCAGAAAGCTCGAGGGGTGGGTGAGAAGATCAGGTGAAGACAAGAGCAGGGCCCAACGGGACTGTTCTCACAGCCCCCACCCCGCCACCATTTAAGCCGAAGAGATGAGCCCCAAGGGGCACGTGGCAAATATGGAGCAGGCTCTAGCCCTCCCTCCTCAACTGGGCACCAGGCAAGGCTGAGAACCAGCCCTTCCGGGGACCTCAGGAACCACGAGGTTCTTGACCTGGGATGTTCGGAAGTGCCCAGTTCCTAGGCAGGGCAGAGGGGCCAGGGAAAGGGAAGGTGTTCCAGACCTCAGGTAGGCAAAGCTGCATAGGAGAGCAGATGGGGTGTCAGGAAAGAGGCTGGGAGAGGGTGGGAGATGGGGCGGACTGCCTCTGGCTGGGGAGCAGTGACCGGGCAGAGCATGCTTGCCTGGGCTGGCCTGGGGGAGAGGGCAGGGGCTGCAGTTCACAACGGCATGCTCACTCGTGGTCCAGGATGTTGGGGATATCCTGTGCCTCAAAATTCTGCATCTCCAGGATCCGGTCAAAGTGCTCCAGCCGCTGGTCATTGTTGGCCATGTGGGGGGGCAGGTGGCAGTTGATGATGCTGACATAGTAGCCGTAAAACTTCAGGAAGATGTTGACACCCCCTTTGTTCCCCTGGTAGGTGGGCAGAAGGGTGGGAAGCCATTCTAGGGGGGACACACCTCTCTTTTCCCATCCTACACCTGAGGGCAGATGGTCTCACCTCCTGTGGGATCTCCCAGAGTCAGACACTCAGCTCCCAGAGTGGCCTCTCCATCCACAGAGCCCCGCTCATCCACCTGCCATCCTAGGGATGCTAAGCCCCCCTGAGGCGGGAAGGTGGCTATGCAGGGCACTAGCCTGGACAGAGTGCCAAGATTCATTTCACCCCCTTTTTCATTTGCGCAGCCCTAAAGCCCCCAGCCCTGCCCATCCCAGTGAGACAGCCCCCCAGCTCTTGACTCAGACAACAGCTCAGTCCTTACCCAGTACCCGAAGAGGCCAGTGGGGGTGGATTTAGTAGAGAGGATCTGGATAAAGGGCAAATGCTGATACTTGGCAAAGATCAGTAAGAGGAGCCCCTGCATGCGGACACTGGAGACCTGCAGGACAGAGGGGCAACGGTCATTTGTGTCCCTCCAGGCCCTGTGCTGGGCACTCTAGAGAGCCCTGATCCACATGGATGTCCTGCCCCAGGGGTCTATGGCATCTCTGCAGATGGAGTCTCAGCTGCCACATGATGCATTCTGGAAGCTAAGCAAGTTCCGGGGCTCAAAGAACTTCAAAGATGCTCTATGGGACAGTGGCTAAGGGCCAGATCTGGGTTCAAATCCCAGCTCGGGCTCTTAGTATTTGGTATTGGGCAAGTCTCAGCCTATCTTCTCATTAATAAAGCAGGAATCGATCTCAAAGATGTTGGATTAACTGGCAGCTACTATTTTTTTGGTTTAGGGCTTCTTGAAAGTAAGTGCAGGGAAGAAGCATGAGAGGGCCTTCTAGGGTGCTGAAAGTGTTCTGTATCTTGATTTGACCAGTGGTAACATGTTCTGCATATACATATAAAAATCCACCTGGGGACATCCCTGGTGGTCCAGTGGTTAAGACTCTGAGCTTCCACTGCAGGGGGCACGGGTTCCAACCCTGGTCAGGGAACTAAGATTCCACATGCTGCGTGGTGTGGCCAAAAAAAAAAAAAAGAAAAAGAAAATCCATCAAACTGTACACTTAATTTCTGTATACGTTATAGCTCAGTGGAAAAAAATGAAGAAAATGCTACTGAAAAATAATATAGACTGTGGGCAGTTGGTGTGTACGAAGGCCACGCAGAGGGGATGAGAGCGAGTGCAGAGGACGTGTGTTCACAGATTGGGGAGAGTAGCTACCGTCCACTGACACACTGCCTTGCACATTTAATCTTCTAGCCAACCCTTCAAGGCAGCACCGAAGGACTGAGGCTGAAGGAGACTGAGGAACCAGTAGGACTACCTGGATATTCAAAGGACCAGGACTGCCAAAATCCCTGCTCTCTGTGGCCGCGGAGGTGGGGTGGGAATGGGCCAGTGACCCTCTCTCTCAGCTGCAGGCTGCCTACACCCACCACCCGAGTAGCTATTTCCGGAGCATGAGGTGCAGAGGCCAAGGAGGAAATCCCCGGGTGGGGAGTGTGTACTGGGGCCTTCCAGGAATTATGAAACTTGATCCCACAGGCCAGGAGCTCTGGGACAGTGGAGGAGTCAAAGCAGGGGGAACCCCAAATCCAAGACCGAGGGAGGGAGGTGTGAGAAACTAGGGCTCAGCAGAGGTTGCTACAGATGTGTCCCCCGCCTCACTCTCCACCCCCAGTCGGTCTCTCCCCTTCACATGCAAATATGACAATGGAAGTGGGCGAAGGGCTGGACCAAGAGGGACTGACTCCCAGGGAGCTGATAAAGATTCAGGAAGAGTTTCAAGCTGAAGCTGAACCCATAGAGTGGGTTGGGGTGATGGGCTCTACCACAAAGGCACCAGCCCGCTTCGAGAAGCTGCAGGGAAGGGGGCGTGGCACAGGGAGGATGGAGGCGGGGGTGCGGCTGTGGGGAAAGGCAGGAGGGAAGTTCCAGTGGAGGAAATGAAGTAGGAGGAGCTAAGGAAGGGACTAGAGGGAGGTGGCTGGGAGCCTAGGAGCCGGCCAAGGGGGTCAGCCCCAGGCTTCTCAACCCCTGGCTGGCAACTTCTGGCTAAGGAATAGGCTGCAGGCAGGGCTCGCCCTTCACCTCCACTCTCGGCCTCCACTCTCGGAAGAAAGGTCATCTGCTCTGGGTGCCAGGCCCTCAGGCTGCTCTCCCAACCTCGGGAGGCCGCATGGATAGAATGAGCTGTGTCCATGCCGCAAGATGAGCTCACTTCCTTGGCTCAATTCCATCCTGCCAATCCCTTGCCAGTTAGCCAAGGTACAAGGAGGCCTCCAGTCTTGGAAAGGGAGTGGGTGGTGAGAGAGAAGTGGTTCTGCCCTCCGAGAAGGTCCAGCTCCAAGTCTGCAGCAAGAGGCCCGAGTGTGATGTGGAGGGAGCCAAGGGCTTGGGGGCTGGCATTTTTTAGCCTCAGCAGCAGGACCAAACCTTGTCTGCCATCCTCCTGGCTCTGCCCTCCTCGGAAGGACTCACAGCTCTTGCTTCAGCAAACTAGGGTAACAGAATTAATTAGGCAAACTAGGGTAACAGAATTAATTCTGTTAGGCAAACTAGGGTAACCCTTAGGCAAACTAGGGTAACAGAATTAATTCTGAAGAAATCCAGTCACCCAGGGAAGGGAAGAAAGGAATTCTGGTATTTCCAGGAAGCATTGCTTCTTGGAGATATTTTGAGTGGGAATGTGTTTCATCCCTTGGCTGTGCAGGGCAGAAGGGTGAGATCCAGCAATCTAGAGCCTTCCTGTAGATGCTCCTATGGTCTAAAGATTCCCCAAAGAATACTGGCCCTACAGACTGAGAACCTTTTTCCTCCACACCTGTGTCCCCTCTCCTAACCTCTTCCCCCTGAGAATTTGAGGTGCATGTCCCTTATGATCAGAAGATACCCTCTGATACCAGCAGGCGAGTCGTGGGATACCTGTCAGCCTTAGAGATCATCAGTACAGCAATAAAGTACAGAAGCCAAGAATATGGGTTATTAAGTTTGAAAGATCTGGATCTGAACCCCAGATATCCTGTGAAACCTCTGAGTCTTGGTTTTACCTGTATAACACCCATATTTCAAAAGAGTTAAAATTTTTAAATAACGTATATAAAGAGTTTGCTTATAATGCTTAACACCAAGTAAGCACTCGATAGATGGTGGCAGTTATTATGCTCCGAGATTTCAGGCTGGGCCTGAGAGTAGAGATTGGAGGCAGGGGGTGGGGTAGGCACTGAGGTGTTACTAAGCCCTGCTGCACCTCCCCAAGGAATTCTCCTAACCTGAAAAATATCAAGGTCTTAAACTAGCCCCTGGGGTTCCAGCTCAGCTCCAGCTACCTCTGAACACACAAGGCAGGCAGGAGCCCCAGGGAGCCACGTGCAACTGAGGTCTGGGCCTTTAAATAAAAGGGAAACAGCACGAAAGCTGGAGTGGGAGACCAAAGGACTAGGGATTAGTGATAAGAGGTGAGACACATTTCCCAATTGCCCATGAACTTATAAGTTACCTTGACGAAGCTCAGAGGGGAAAGCACATCCATGAAGAAACTGCTCCATGGGTCTTCAAAGGCAGTGTCAGAAAGGAGGCTCATGATCCCACAGTTCATTTCCTGCAAACTGCCCATCCCAGGTCAGAGGCTTCCCCCTGGCCTGGAGGGCACTGCCTCTGCCGCAGACATTTAGCACTGCCCTCAGCCAACTTTCCAGCCTTGGGCTCTCATGACCATGGTCTCTCCCTCCCCTGGCTGTTGACTGCCAACCCCTTGCCATTGCTGATCCAGGACAACAGACACTGCCTGGCCCTGATGCAGGCTGAAAGCTCCTGGCCTTCAGACTCCAGAGTGAGGGTGTACAGGTTACAGCGGTTCCCCACAGGGACAACTTGGGACTGGTCAGGCTTACCTGATCTCAGATATAGGGATGCGTGACGGGCCCTGCAGACACCTACCCAATGACATACACGTCCAGATTCAGGTTCAGGCTGTTCAGCTGAAGCAGATCACTGAGGTCTGGAGGAGGTGCTGCAGAGGCCACGTTCCATGTCACGACATGTATGCTGAGAAGGGAAGCCATGGAGAAAGGAAGATGAGCCGTCATCCAGGTAACAGACAGGGGGCTGCGCCTGCTAACGGCTGCACCACAATCCGCTGTAGTCAGAATGGGAAACGTGTGTTTCTGCATCCGGTGGAGGGAATAGGGCCACTGAACTACAAGCCCTTCATCTTCACCTCTGTCCCCGAAGCAGGAAATTCCCACCCCGGATTGGCTCCTCCGTGCAGGCGTACAGCTCCCTACACCTGGCAGCACTGGTGCTGCTGACACTAGGAGAGCTGCCAAAGTGGGGCTGAAGGTTTCGGAGTCAGGCAAGGGAAGGGGTGTGGATGGGGTGGACCGTCAGGAATTTATTAATTCCACCAGCCCTTCATCTATGGCTCAGTAAGCAACTTTCCACCCCCACTCTTCAATCCACGGGATCCTACAACCACCAGAAAGATTCTGGAGGTTCAGTTTTCACCTTGTGAGAGGCCTTAGTACTGCAAGACAGGGGAATTTCAAAAATAACAGAGATAACAGCACCACATTTCCTTCCTCACTCATCTCTGGAGCACAACCAATTCTGCCAAGCATTTCAGAAGAGCCTAAGAAGATTCTAAATAACAGGTTTCTCAACATCTCTCTCAAGACTCTACCCTCTTTTGGGAAAAGTCATCAGTTGGATAACATCCACCTCAGCTTCACATAAACCCTAGGGAAACAACAGATCTAATCAGCAGCTCAGGGGATGGAGAGACTTGCAAATCTCTTCATTTGAATAGTTACAGTAATGCTCCCAGGAAGCCCCTAGATTGTGCTGAGTACAGAACAGGCAGGGGCTACAAACCCTGCAGAGACCAAGAAGAACCACCAAGCCTCAGGTGAGTCCTAGGCACACCGTAAGGAGGAGGACCTGTGACAGTGGAAGATGCAGAATGGGGGCAGAGGGGGGAAGGAAAGGGCAGGATGCCCTTAAACATCTTTTCTCCACCAGACCCTGTTCTTAGAGGTCCATGTTCTAAAGAGCACAAATTGAAGAAATTCTTGGCCAGCTTAAAGCAACTTCCTGCCCCTCCACATGAACATCAACAAAACAATACAATAACCACCTTCCCAGGCACTCAGCCAGAGGTTCAGTGCTTCGTTTGTTTACGGTCTCCCCCTGCTGTCCAACGGAGGATTAAGAGGCAGCTCTTTTACTCTAAGGCTCCTTGTTTTCCCAGGGACCTGCTGTAAGTGGATGGAGAGCCAAAGCCGGGATTTCTTGTTCCCACTTTTAGGTCCCACGATTAGCAGCAAATCCTTGCATCGTGACCGGCACTAAGTTGGTGATTAGCGTTGTTCCTCGTTAAAGAACAAGCATGAGACCAGGCTATTATCACTTCACTAAAGGATCTTATCTAAATCTGATTTGGGGTTTCAGGAGGTCACAACGGGGTCAGGAGGACCCCATGATGTACGTGCTGATCCAAAGTAAGAACAAGGTTTCTACTCTAGAGCTAAGGGGAGAGTGCTTCGTTATGTTTTTAACTTCTAACAGCCCAACACTGCTGCCTCCTCCAGAACCCAACTGGGCCACCTGCTTGGGGCGTCCAAGCGGGAAAGAACTTGGTGGCCTGAGTTTGGAGAGGGCGCGGGGTTCGAGCCCAACACAGCCCTCTCGATACTGGCTTGGGAGAATGTGGGAGGCCTCTGAACCAGAAGCAGCCCTGTAGGTCTGGCCCCTTCTCTCCCAGTCTGGTTCTGCCCCAGCCCCGCAGCCCCGATTGGGTCGCAGGCAATGATCCCGCCCCGAGCAGGCCGGCCTGCCCGCAGTCGCCTTCCTCACCTGAGCGTCCTGACTCTCAGCTCGGTCTGTGGGTTCATGGCCGCCATCGTCCCCACGCGGTGGCCCGGCCGGCTCGCGTCTCCCCGCCGCAGCCTGTCCTGGCCCAATCGGCCCCCCTCGGGCAGCAGGTGCCGCCGGCCAGCTCCCTCTCCCGATTGTTTTTCTTCCGGATTTCGACCCTCCGCTTCGGCTTCCGTAATAGGCGGGGTCTGAGCGCACAGAGGGCTCTGGGTGGCGGGCTCGGGGGGAAGAGGCGGAACTCTTCAAGGAGCGCGAAACGGTGAAAGGCTGAGGGGAAAGGGGCCTTGGGGACGGGGACGTAAGAGAGGCGTGTCCTCGTGTCATCAGACCCCGATACAACACTGCCCCGCCCGGCGGCCGGGGCGCGCCGTGGCCCAGACACCGCCCAGGCGGCTCCCAGCGTGCCTCGCGCGAGGTTGGCCTGAAGGGGCCGTCTTCCGGCGGAATCCGCCGCCTCGCCCCGCCCCGGCGCGTCGCGTTTCCCTAGCACGGAGCGTGAGGTCTCGGCCCTCGGCGCTGTCTCCCTCCAGGTTCCCAACGTCCCGAGGTGCAGAAGGCGAGGGGAGGCGGCGCAGCCACCCACTGTCCGGCCTGTAATCCAGTCTCTTTCCCAACTACAGGTAATCTCTCTCCTCTTGGTCAGTGAGTGCCTCCATTCTCCATTCTCACGTTCAAGTGTTTTCCGCTCTTCAAACTCATGCAAGCTATTACACATTGGACGTTTGGGGGCTCCTGGACTCAGAAAGCTATACATCAGTGAACGAAAAATAAGTCACTGCCTCTATTTACGACCAAACATGAAATGAAGATTATTTATTGTGGCAAAGACTAACTATGATTTCCTTCAATCACTGGTTCTTAATTTTTTCGGGGGGGCGGGGGCAGGACAGTGCATGGGATTCCTTTGAAGAACTGATGAGAGCCATGACTCTCCCCAGAAAAATGCACCACAACTTTACAAACAAGCTTCATGAGGTTTACAGACTCGGAAGCCGGGTTAAGAACTCCGTTAAATAAATGTTTTCCTTGGTAGGATGGGTAAAAGAGGGGGATGTGGAGAGGAGGGAAGACAAAAACAAAAAGGAAATGCTGCCAGTAGAAGATGGCCAAATTACTTTCAGAAATGTGATATTTGCATAAGTAAAATGATAAGGGGATTGTTTTAGTTTACAGAAATCAACATGCAACAATTTTCAGAGATATCCTGTATCTTTCTAATCCTTCCCTGGTAAAACTGGGGAGATCAGCAAGAGTTTGAGGATACCTAAGTTGTAAAATGGACATAAGGACATCACCAATAAGCTGGACTCCAGAAAGCTCTGTCTAGGATTTTATTAGACTCCTTTTCCCCCCAATATAACCTATATTGGAAGATTGAGACAAAAAGGCACAAACTCACATTAAATAAACAAGGTAATCTAATCAGTTCTACAAAGTGTATTTTGTAAAAGTAGCACTAGGAACCAACCAAAAAACGTCAGGGAGTCCCAGCAGGGACTGTAAGAGAATTTGGGAAGATATACACATGTCCACAATACTGACCCTGTCCCCAGCCTCTCTCCATGAGAAGGCCAGAGCCCAGCACCCCTCCTACAGAGGCACTGCTGCTTCCAACTGGGACTGCGGCCCTGAAAGCAGCTGCTCTGAAGGGGCGTGGCACATCCTCAGGTACTACCCCTGGAGCTGAGCCTTGCATCATAAGCCCCTCTGAGTGCTAGTCAGTTTGGGGGGTGGGTGAGGAGGGAAGGGGGATACTTAAAAGAAGCCAACACTGCTGCCCAGCAGCGACACTATCCATGGGGACGGAACAGACCAGGCACGTCCCTTCTTATGTTGATGTGGGCTGGAGCCCCAAATCCAGCTGACCTCAGGAAACACCAGTTCAGCTCTTGTGGATGCTGAATTGGGGCAACAGGTGGAGGTGGGAGGAGCCAGATAAAAGGCCTACAAGGAGCGAGCCCCGCCCCTAGAATTGAAGTGATATGTGTGGATCTCAGAGAAGAGCTGAAGGAAGGAGACTGACAACTGCTGACCCTCAAACCACGTAAACAATAGTCTGCCTAGAATATCACCGTTTGTTTCTCCCAGGCTAACCCACATCTGGACTTAACTTAGTTGATGAATGTTAAGAAGGGAAAAAGCTTTAAGCACAAATATAATTATAGCTAATATAGAGCTTGTAGGAAAACATTTATATTTTTCTCCAGTAGGAATGTCTATTCAACTTTCCCAGTCAAATAAATGCTACCAGCAGTTGGGATGCTAATAACCAACTGAATTGCCCCAGATCCACTACTATAGACCCCACAAGGTGAGGAGACTGTGACAGGATATCTCCTGGCCCCAGAGGGGGCCTCAGTGAAGGTGGGAGCTAACCACACTGAGTCTGTCCACCCTTACCCCAGGAGGGCCACAGGGAAGCAGCCATCAGGAAGTCACAGGTTTCATCCTGTGTGACACTCCCTTATTGCACTTAGAAATGAGTAAGGCAAAACAAACTGACAAAAACCTAAGGACAGATCATCCCATCCTACTTCTCACTCCCCGAACAAAGATTTGGTCTCACATTAGCAGTTGCACCCAGGCTAGCATGGGCTTGAGTCACTGCACACTCGGCCAACAAACTTCACAAGGTTTGGGAAATGTCAGGTGACACCACAGCTACCTCAGATTCTCCCACTGGGAAGGCATACTCGGGCTCTGCCAAGTCACAGGGAACCGTGAAGCACTCAGCAGCTTCTGCTCCCCTGGAGCCTGGACTTTCTCACTAGCAAGCTTTGGGAGAGCTCTGTACTACGTTCGATCGCTACTTGCTTTTGATTGTCCAGGGCAGAACTCAGCATGGAGGCAGGACGAGCTGAGTTCTTGATCCCCAAATTCCTTTCCAGCAACTGGAGACATGGGGGAACATGTTCTGGGAAGAAGCTTTTTGCATGCTTGTTTTGTGCAGCATGAAAAGATCAAGACCCATTGTGTCCTGACCAGCCTCAGACAGAGGACAGGAATCTAAGAAAGCACAGAGAAAAGGCGATTATTGCTGAGTGGCAGCACCAGCCCAAAAGGGAAGAGGAGCGTGGACATACAGAGCTCCTCGGGGGGCAGACTAGTAGGTAGGTATGGGGCAGACTCAATTCTAAGGGCCACACGGGACAGTTCCCTCCAGGTAGAGTTGACCCGGGCACATTACGGGCTCTGCGGAGATACAGAGTGGGCAACAGGAGGGCCAAGAAACCATAGGTATTTCTAAGACTAGTGACCAGAGGTGCAATGCCTGGGGCAGGGGTTATTTGTATTTGTTTAATTTTCAAAACAGGCTGGCTGGGCCTTGGGTACTTCCATGGTGCCTAGAGCACTCTTAACCGTGGGTTACTGGGAGCAGAGGTCAGAGTTATGAAGCCACATTGCTGTTCTGTGGAACTGGAAGGGAAAAAAATATGTACTTCTAACTCATCCCTTCTCCCCAGGTGGGCACTCAAAATTGCAAAGATCTGCCCAGGAAGCAAAATACCTCAAGTTTATCCCAAGGTTGAAAACTAACAAAGTAAATCATTTAAAATCACCACATCACAAAAGGCAGCTATTTTGAAAGACTAAAAATGTCACTTGGAAATAAAGGGGGCGGGGGCACACAGAAATGGGTCAAGAACACAATGGTTGGAGAGGGAGGAGCTGTAAATACAGCCACCTACACGCCACATATCTCAGGGGGGCAGGCTCCCGCACACACGGGCTTCGTAATACCAGACAGTCTATTTGTTCACAATGTTAAAGGGCATCTAGAATTAACTACAGTAAGGGATCAAAGTTGCCTGAAGAATGGGCACAGAAAGGCTGCCTCCGAAGATGGCCTGTCACTCAGGAGGATGGAGCTGCTGGGCCTTCCTGTTGACCACTGTCTTGCAAAACTAGAAGAGAAATACAGTTATTAAGGAAGCAACAAAGGAAAATAGAAACACACTGTAAATCAGTGATGGGGGAATTGCAAAAGGAGGAAGGATGCCAGGCAGTGTGGTGGGGGGCTGTGGGGGGGGAAAGGAAACTAAAGTCCAAGCAGTGATGAGAAGCTGGCATCTCCTCAATCCACTTCATCCTACCATTTTAATCTCCCAGAAGTTCTCAAGCACACAGGGCAGGGGGAGCGAGCAGTGGTTTGCTTCACTGCTGGTGAAAGCCCAGGCCTCCTTAGCACCGTAGTGCTAGAGGACAACCGGGCTTTATTTGATAACATAATTTTCCCTCAGATCCTGATGGGAGCAGAACCAGGCTTCTCACTCCATGCCTAATCCCCTCTGAGCTGCTAGAATAACAGCAAGTGTGGAGGTGTGCAGGACACTGGGTGCTAATACAATGTAGGGTCTTGGGAAGGAGTGACCACATGAAACAAGAGACATCCCATCCTGGTCCTATGACCTGGGCAGAAACAGTCTCCAGGTATCTGAAAGATGCTGCCTCTGAACTACTTTGTCTGGGATCAGAGGGTATAGAGAGAAAGGAAATGAAGCACCAGACCCAACAAGGACCACTAGGAAAAGCTGTCTGGACGGCAAATTTTCCAAGGGAGAGGTAGGGAACAGCTCTGGCACGGGGGGGTCCAGGGAGCACCCAGAATGCCAGCTTCAACTTGAAATGGCTCAAGTTACGAGAGGAAGAGTAATTAGGTGCAGATAAGCTTTGATTCTCATCCCTGCCCCCACCCCGGCCGCACTTCCCACCACCCTGTCCTTGTCTCTGAGTGGTTCTTTGTACAATCACATAGATCCCTGAAATGTCTTAACAGTCATAACCTCTTCCTCTTTCCGAAGCCTGAGAGCTAGTAAGCATCGCGATCATCATTAATACTAGAGGGCAGGACGAGGAAAGAAGCAGGCTTTCTGCCTCCAGAGTCAGCTGCTGAGCCTTGAGGACCCAAACCGATTCTGGCGTCTATGTCATGCTCAGTGAGAAATGCAGTACATACAGTGCAGAAGGGGGAAGAGTGGCTTTAGTCATCCGCTGTCATTCCTTTCACTGGGTCCTTCTGTCTCATCTGGAACAGAAAAAAAAGGAAAAATTGAAGGTTTTTGCTGTTGATGGAACTCTACAACAAATACATTCCACCTTCTCAATCCTGCCAGTGGATAGGGTAGAGCATTTTTTTTGTGCACAA